CCACAACAACATTTTAAAGGGATTCAACTATGGAAAATTTTTGTTTCATGAAAACAAATATTAAAAAAACTCTAGGATTCTCAGCAACCACAGAAGTTTATTTAACACACCCACACCCACATCCCCCACACATTTATGTCCATTTGCTAAAGTCAAATGGTTTGCTACCTACTTTAAAAGATTAAAAAAGAACAAAAATTAAATACCTTGCATAGAAACTGAAGAAAATGAAAAGGAAAACAATAAATTTAACATTTCTGTATTGTAAGTGGCAATTATCATAGAATTGCTTCCTTTAATGATATCTTTCAGCAAGACATTTATTCTAACAATGAAAAGTCATCATAATAAAGTTACTTGTCTGTCAACTATTTGACATAAGTTGGCTAATTACCATGGGGCATTTTATTATAATCTAACAAGCTTACCTTAAATTCATTCAAATGCTTTAGTGTGTCTTTTCTTTTGATATTGTATGTCTCAAAGCTGAAGACCAAAAATTGTATGTTCTCCCTCATATGTGGACTTTAGATCTAGGGCAAATGCAGAAAAGTGGTTGGACATGGATCACATGACAAGGGGAGAGCACATATGGAAGATATAGGAACAGGTAGAAAACCCAAAACATTAAAGCATTTGATTTGTATTAGTTCCTTTAGAGGAACTAATACAGAAACCTTAAAGTGACAGAGGTTAACATGAGAAGGGGATCAGGAACCAGTGTAAAGATCAGTTAGAGTTGAATCAACATGGGTTGTAGCACATAGGTACATGAAAGCAATGTTGGGAATCTCTCTATATAGCTATCCTCAACTCAACTAGCAAAACCGCTTTGTCTTCCTTATTATGCTTATGTCTTTTCTTCAACAACATTAGTGATAAGGGCAGAACAGGACCTGCCTGGAACTGAGGGGAGAAGAGGGGGAAAGTGTAGGGGTGGGAGAGGGGGGCAGGATGGAGAAATGACCCAAACAATGTTTGCACATGTGAATAAATGAATAAAAAATTTTTTTTAAATTTAAAAAAGTCACCTAAGTCTCATTAATAACAAAGTGAATGTTGTCTCATTTTATTATTATGACTTTCATTGTGCTTTTTAATTTAAGGGTAATATGTTTTATTATAAAGATATAGAAACTAGTAATTTATAAGGGTATGAAAACAAAATCACCACCAATACCACCACCAAAAGAGAGCTACTTTAGAGAATTTGGAATTTTTCTAGAATATGTGACTTGTTTTGATACAATTGTTTTATAAAGTGAGATCAGTCTCTAATCTCTTCTTCCCACTCAACATTGTGTCATATTCACATAATCTCATGTTCTTCTGCATTATTTAGCAGGCTCATGGTATTTCATCAGATGATGTATTAAAATTTCTAAGCCAATCCTTCTGTACAACAATTAGATTACATTCAGTTATTCATAATTATAAATGAGTTGCACTGAATGTCTTTGTTCCTGGATCTTTGCCAAATAATATTACTAGACTATGTCTAAAATGTCAAAACCCTTAGTTCCCAAATTTTACTACGTGTAAGAATCGTAGTGGGGATTTATTTACACTCCTCATCTCTAGTCATAGGATTCCAATTAGGCAGAGCTGGAAGAAGGCCTAATATCAGAAGTTTAGTAACCATCCTTTGTGATTCTAATGCGGGGGGCGGGGGTAGCACCATATATTGAGAAATAATGACATGGAGACATTAGAAATACTATCTTTTTCCTCAACTCCTTGCAAAAAAATGCTATTTTTAGCAATTAATACAAGGTAGATGTTGTTCTGGTGGTTAGATTCGTATTTATTTCCAAAAATAAGAGCATTGAACATCCTGCTTTCTTTCTGATAAAGTTGTTCTACTCATTTCTGAAGCATAATTGATGCACATTGATCTGGAGTGTGAAAAGACCACTTGTTTTGCTGTTTGTAAGTGGAAAATGTCAGGATGTAGACATCTACTGCTGTATTATTTTTATTATAAAGATAAAAATGCAGGAATTGGGCTTAAACTGACAGTATATGAGCATGAACATAAGTTTTACTTTTAATAGACATCATTCTCTCAAAAGAAGTTATCCCTTGAGGCAGTTGCATTGAAAAGACATCATCACAAACATTAAGTCAGTCATCAAATAACCTGGGTTATGTGAAGCATTTTTGCAACAGCAGTGCTAATGCCCAGAATGGATAGCTAAGCACTTAACAAAAACATAATTTCAGCCAGCTACATTCCATGTGACCAAAACTTTGCTAGACTCATTCTTTGTTCTTCTTTTTTATGTTTGTCCTGGACAAAGGTGTCTACACAAGTAAGCTATTAACTGAATTATGACTTGTTAGCAATCCAAGAGTGTGTGCTAAGTTTGTAGGTCTGTCCTTAGGTGATCTTCACAGGTAAACAGAGGCTCATTTTCTCAATATAAAAGTTAAAAATGTCTCACGTTTATGTTTTCTCTTTATTTTCTGTGTTCAGCATGTTACTAAACATTGACTTTGTTATGGGTTGTTACAAAATCAGAGCATTTCAGAATTGAAAGGGGTCTTAAGTTTTATTTTGTACAAGCTCTTGTTTTTATGCCTAAGACAAAAACATAGAAAAGTTAGTGACTTCTCAAGACAGCAGGAGTAATTAGTAGCATAGTAGGACTTAGATTTTTCTATCTCCTGACTTTATCACAGGTTATCGTTAATTTCTAATGTTTATGTAAGACAATTCTGATCTCAGTTATTAAAAGAAAATGTGGAGCTTATTAAGTAGTGATCAATTAGTGTGTGTTCTATTCTTTTCTAGTAGTATGCATTCTGCCAGGGACTATACCTGTAAGCTAGTGTAACATAGAGGATATTAGCACTGGCTTTAACTAAAAGGGGTTTGGGTTTGGTTGCTGATATGTAGAGTGACCAGCTATGCTGGTTTGCTTGGAAGTGTGGTATCTCCCTGAAATGGGACTTTAAATGCTAAAGTTAAAAAGGCCCAGGCAATCAGAGTTGGTTGGTAATCCTACTTGCCGCACTCTGTTTGGCCCATACGTGATATTTTATAAGTCTCTGTTTCTTTATGTATAAAATAAGAAAAGCAAGAAGCATTATCATCTAGGATTTTAATACAAATTTAAAATGGCACATGTAAAACACAGTATAACTTAATAAGGGCTCAATAAATATTAGCCATTATGATTATTAATATTGCTTTATGAGGCAAGTAGGTATCTCAAATTACAGATTCTCAGAATCTATATCTTTAGATCTAGGTTTTGAAATAAACGAACTTTGGTTTTATGTTTGACCTCTTCGTTACCTCTGAGTGCCATTCTATTATCCTGTTTGACCATTAAGTTAGACAATACAATACACATCTAAATTGATTCCATCATTAAATAATCTTTCATAGCCAGGCACCAGTGGCTCACGCCTGTAACTCCTCTCTCAGAGAGATCAAGAAGATTGTGGCTTGAAATCACCCTGGGCAAATAGTTTGAGACCCTATCTTGAAGATACCCAGTACATAAAAGGGCTGGTGGAGTAGCTCAAGGTGTAGGCCCTGGGTTCAAGTCCCAATACTGCGAAAAAATTTTCTTTCATATTTTTTAAGATAAACATTAGGAGGAGACACATTTTCTGTTTGGAAACCAACAAGAAGAATGGGCATCAAAGACAGCATAGTGCTATGAAAAACATGGGGATTAGCCTAAATTCCAACAGTTTGAGTACAAACTCTGTGCCAAATACCGATGCTTACACACACTGCAGGGCTGGTACAGACAATGGTACTAAGAGTAAATATTATTATCTCAATTTTCAGAGAAAACCATCTTAATTTTTAGAAACATTATCTCAGGAGCCTTAAGTTAAATTCTCCAAGATTGTAGTATAATAAGAAGTTTTTATACTAGGTTTCTAAACTAGGTCTAGCTGCTTCAAAGTTCTTGTAGTTTTAACTTACAACCAACAGGCTAATCTGCCTCCCTGTGTAAGTTTCTTCACCTATAAAATTCAGAAGGAAAGGAAATTGTTGTTTGTGATCACATCACATTGAAAGTAATCAGCTATGCGTGTAACATACATTTACATTTTACTTTTGCGAGTAAATATTGGTCCTGTTTTTATAAAAAGGAACTGAATCCTTAAAAAGATTCAGCAGTGCTCTAAGGACACAATTAATAGTGGCAGTTTAAGGACTGAAAAACCCAGCTCTCTATTAAGCATATATCTTATAATATCTCATGATTCTATAATTCTTAGTACATGGATTTAATAAATGCTACTAAAGTAGACTTTCCAACAACTTAGAAATAATTACTTTGTGCGTGTAATGGTATTTTTTCCAAACTCAAACCAAAATATTAAATTTTCTGCTTTACTCTACATTTGATTTGCCTTTACCATGGATAATGCAGATCATAATTGCAAAATTCAAATGTGTGGTTTAAATTCTACAGCACTCAAACTTTCTTTTCATACCTTCTGAAAATTCTTCTCACAAAGCCTCATTATAACAATTGGCAAGAGATATGAAAACATGTGTTACAGATATGGTCCTAAGTATGAAGAAAAAATAGAACTTCTTTTCTTCCTCTCTTTTCATAAGCATCTACATTAGAAAACATGCACACATACATATATCAAAATATGAAATGAATTTTTTCCAATTCATTTCATAAAGGTAGGAAAACATTTTGATTTACCTTTGATTTCATAGAATTTATAAAAATTCTATAAATGACATACATTCTGAGACTATTTTGGATGTCAGTCAATCATTATGATCAAGCCATACCTAAAAATACTTGTGAACAAATCTACTACTTTAAAAATAAACCTAGATTTTGTTTGTGAGCCTGTATTCTTTTCTGTGAATATTGTTGGTTTTGAATTTGCATTTTATGCATAAGTTTCACTTAATTTCTTCCCCAGAAAGGTATAAAGCCATTATGTAATGACACACAGAGAGTCTTTTATTGATTGATTCTATGTGCTTTCTTGAACTTTTGCCTTAGGCCTCTGAGGAAACATTGCATTCCAGTAATGAAGAGGAAGACCCTTTCCGAGGAATGGAACCCTATCTTGTAAGGAGACTTTCATGCCGCAACATTCAGCTTCCTCCTCTTGCCTTCAGACAGTTGGAACAAGCTGACTTGAAAAGTGAATCAGAGAATATTCCACGGCCAACCAGCCTCCCCCTGAAGATTCTGCCCTTGATTGCTATCACTTCTGCAGACTCCAGTGGGTGAGTGCCCTTGGGTGACATTTCTCCATTTTACATTTTGTATGGTGATTGTTATCTGTGGTCTTTTAAATTTTTGTGGCTCATTGCTTGATTTCAGTGGGAGGACAATGATGTTTTTAGAGTAAAAAAAAGGAAACTTTTTCTCAGGTAATGTCTTTATCTCTGTAAGATGAGTCATTTTTAGTCAAATTGTTTTACAAGAAGGCATTGAAAATGTATTGATGAATCCTAATAAGCATCCAGGAAAAGGGAAATTAATACTGGCCATTTGTGAGTTTAAAAAAGATTCTTAACAAATGATAACTAATGGACAAATTACCATGTAGGCATACTTATGTGGAAACAGTAGTCAATGTTCATTGATGCAAAATTAATTTGGAATCAAGAATAGATTGTACTGCAATTAGAATCAAAGGAAATATGCAATTATATTTATGAGCCTAGTAATTTGGCCTTTGACACTTTGAGGTATTGCTTACCAGAATACTGTTTCAGTTCTCAACATAAGGAATTTTTTTAATCACTAGTACTTATAAAAGAATCACCCCAAACCGTATCCCCATCGTGTAACTTCCTACTTTACAGAGTATAAGTTTTATTCATTTTTATGCTATTTACCAATGCAGTTTTTAACTCTCTAATAGCAACATAATCAGGTAAAACTTTGTGAAAGAAAGTGAGGATAGTAGACACATCCATTATTTGTTTTTCTGGCCAGCTGCATTTTTAATTGCATAGAAGGGATGAAGCTAGTGATCTATACAGACACAGACTCTTGAGCATTTTCTTAAACAAGAACAAAACCATTTATGTTACAAATGTGATTCTTCTTCATTCTTTTCCAAGTTAAAGATATTTCTAGGGAAAGTTCCTCTTGGATTTTTACTCAAAAGAAATTTGGCCAGTAATTCCACTCTAAAACATTGAATTTAGCTATTTAAATTGTGACACTGACTAGTGGAAACGACTTATATTACTAAAAGGTATGAAGAAATCACTACTAGATAAATAAGAAAGTAACAAATTCTTACCTTGAAAAAATGGAAAGAGGAAATACACAAGGATTTTTCCTGATGAACCATATTTATACAGCAGAATATGTGCACACTAATGAGTCTCTTATTAAAAAGAAGGTATGGATTTTATCTGGCAGCTCAACCTGGATATTCCTCGAAATATACTGACCTTCTAAAAATATTTCCCGTATTTTGGGGATCAACCTTATTGTTCATCTGTGTAGAGGACAGGATTCACAGATGTGTTAAGGATTCCCAAGACCATCCCTAGCTTCAGTGATCTGCTAGGGGAGCTCCTGAGTCATTTTCATGGTATGATTTATTATGGCAAAAGAATTCAAAGCAAAGGCACACGGGCAAAATCTGGAGCAAAGCGGACAAGACTTTTCAAGAGTCCCCTCTTCAAGTGGAATAAGCAGAATGCATTTAATTCCTTCAGCAATGAGTTGTAGTAAGTAACACATGAAATATTTTCACCAGGGATTTCCTAGCCCATACCAACATTCTAGACTTCCATGAGGAAAGTAGATGTTCAGTATAAACCATTTAGGCCCAGTGAGCCATGCTTACCACTTTGAGATGGTGGGATCCCTGCCGAGATCCAAATTCCCAGATGTCACGTAAGAGCTGATCTTTCAAATAGGTCCTTCTGCATTCAACGGTCGAGCTTGATTAGCTCTTTTCTGCACACTGGGTTCATCTTAGAATAATAGTCTTGCTTCCTCCATGTATGAGGAAGAAGGTATTATAATTAAATTTAAATAAACTGATTTAAGCTGCTGATAAATTAATTTTGGTATCTAAAGAATTTGGTAAGGAAACATGATTTCTCATTTAAAGTTCACTGCTCTTAAAAGAAAATGATGCAGTATGCTTAATATTATCTCTATGTAGTTTGATAATGTGTATAATTAAGAATCTTAGATAAAAGATAAATTTTTTAAATTAAATTTGAATGTGTTCTTAAAAACTAATGGTCTCCAAGTTCCAAGGAACTTCAAGATTCAGAATTATCTTCATCACAACACTTCTATGTTATCAAAATTTGTTTTTCTCTTAATCAAGAACCTAAGAATTAAGGATAAGCAATATTATGCTTGCTGTTCTCAAATTTATTCAGTATTATGAAAGGAAATAATTTGTCTTTTACAAAGATGAGACAATGTTGCTTTTCTGTTCCAAAAGTCAGCCAAGAGAAATCGTGGACAAGAATGGGCAATCAACAAAAAATAAAGACTAAGGATGTATTAAAGCAATTATAAATACATTAGAAGCAAAAATAATGTGTGAATTGAATATTGAGTAATAGGAAATTTAGTATTATCAATTTCTGGAATGTCTACACCTTGGAAGAAAAGTAGAAGGTAAAGTTAGCAGTTACATTCTGTGGTCATTTCAGTTAATCAGGAACCCCAGATTCCTTCACAACCATCCCAAAGCGAAATTTATACTACTTTAGCTAGGATGCCTACAGCCCAGTTCTCCACTAATAAAGGTTAGTGTACCCTCAGGTCACATTGTCAACCTATACTGAGACCTTAGCAATTCCAAATTTTTTGGTAGTAAAGGATACTTTGAATTTATTTTCCTTTGTTTCTTAACATCATAGCTTTTTGCTATTTCCTCTATCAGAACACCACACAGCTCTATCAAGTATCAGGCAGGAGTCTAGAGACTTGTTTTACCCCTTTGGAAAGCCATGTCGTGACCCTGGGTAACTGCTATCACTACTATTAGCTTCCTCATGAAGTACCTGGGTCAGAAGAATTCACCAAAGGGACTTTCAATTATTAACACTTCCATAATTCTACTTTGAGTTTTTTGGTGTGTTTAAATGTACACTCTAACAATTTCCTCTAAGTATGTCTTTGCCTAAGCTTTTAGGTTGCTTGGGTTGTGATTCAGCAACATTTAGATACTTTAAATGAGCACAAAACAGAATTATTAACACCTGGGACACTGAGAATCTTGAATCCACCCACCAGTTAGTTTTCCATGTAGGATAGGATCATTCAAGAGCCCTGGCTGTTTATTGACCCTCCTTGGAGTAAGGAGGACAGCTATCAATGGCCTGAGCAGTTATGAACTTGGCACAGAAATAATTTGGAATTTCCCAAGCTCCTTTCCAAAATAATATTCTGTCCATTCACATTTTAAAGATTTTCCTTATTAAAGCATAACTTACATGCAGTAAAATATGATACATATGATGAATCTTTAGATGTTTATATACCTATATAATTACCACCCTATGACCTGACTGGTTTTGTTTGTTTTTGTAGGTTTTTCTTGTGTGTGTGTGTGTATATGTCTGTGTGTGTTTGTTACTGGGGATTGAACTCAGGGCCTTGTGCTTGCCAAGGAAACCATTTGAACCACAGCTTCAGGCCTTTTTGTTTCTTTGGTTTGTTTTCTAGTTAGTGTTTCACACTTTGACGTACACAGGCCTCTGACTGTAATCCTCTTTCCTCTGTCTCCTGAGTAGCTGTGACCAAGGGCATGTGCCACCATGCCTGGCTTGTTTTGAGATAGGCTCTCACTAAGTTGCCCAGGCTGACTTTGAACTGTGATGCTCTTATGTCCACCTTCCAAGTAGCTGGGATTACAGACATGTGCCTACACACTCACCCCCTGACTTTTGTCAATAAATATTTCTCTTCTTCAACGTCATATAACTGGGATAGTATAATTTGTGTCTGGCATCTATCATACAAAATGATTTTTTACATTTATTCATGTTGGTGAAAATATAACTGGTTCATTCTTTTTGCTGTAGTGTAGCATTCCTTTCTATGAATAGACCATAATTTATTTACCCATGGTCTTATTGATTGATGGACATTGGGATGTTTCTAGTTTGGGGAGATACATTTTCATACAAACTTTTTTGTGAATCTATGAAGAATTTCTCTTGGCATACTCCTAGGAATGGAATTTCTGAGTCATAGTTAGGCAAACACTTTTCTAAGTGAATGTGAGGTACTATTACCTTCCCACCAGTAATGAATGAGAGTTGCAGTTTTTTTATCCTTACCAGCATTTGATGTATTCTGATTGTTATGACGAAAGTGTGTCTTATTTTGGTTTTAATTTATATTTTCTCCATGAGTCGTGACATTGTTTACCTTTCAATATATTAGTTGACCATTTGGATATCTTCTTTATGTTATGCCAGTTTCAATATTTTTCTAGTTTTCCTTTACTTGTCAATTTTTGGGTTTCTTATATTATAGACCTTAAGATTTTATTAAGTAAGTGTATTATAATATGAATATTTCCTCCTAGACAGCAAATTGCATTTTCACTTTCTATTTACTTTTGATATGGTGGTACTATGGTAGGTTGTGAAATATGTGTGTGCTCATATCAAGGAAAAATCTGACCATGAAAAAGCAGGAAGATAAGAATAAGAAACATAGTGAAGTAATGACAATAGGGGAAAAGAAAACGGAAAATGTGCAGAAAAAGGGTAGAAAACAGAAAAAAGAGAGTAAAATGTACAGGGTACAGAAGAAAGTGAAAAGCAGGAAGTAGACCAAGTTTAATAAATGGAGAGCAAATAATGAATATGACAGTTGAGTCAGGTTAATTTTCCATGGAGAAAAGACTAGTTGGTTCATTGGATATTGAAAATAGGTCATGTAAGCCCTAAGCATACAGACAAAATAAATTGAAATAAAATGAATGAAAATGAAATGCCACCATGTTTGTGGTGGTGGCTGATGGCAGCAAGTGGTCATGACAGGGCTCACCTCTCACTAGCTATATCATCTTGGGGAGTTACTTAGTTATTCCAAATTTCTAGTTCTACAACTAGAAAAGTAGGAATAATACAGGTGTTTACCTCACAGATTTGTTGTAAAGACAAAATACTCAGCTTGTTGTAAATGCTTCAAATACAATAGTTACAACTGCTCTTATAGCCTTTTGGGAAGTATTAGAACAAATAATGTTTGTTGTTGATGTTGTTTGTTTCTTTATTGGAAATGGCTTTGAAGATCCTTTGCTGATAGTAACTCTTGGGTTAGAGATGGGTGTTCTAGCAGATGTGGGAGTCAGCCAGAAATTTGTTCCTGATTCAGAAGGTCACAGTTATTATGGACTTGTCATGTTCCTAACAAGTCATAAAAAGCAAGTGATCTTGCTTTTGGCATCTGTCAACAGACAGGTTCTGCTTTCAACTGCTGTTCAATTATGTTCGGAAGGTCTTCCTTACTTCTACTTTTGAAAGTAAGCATTTGCTGACTTCTAAATATTCCCCTGCCCAGAATTCCCAGGAGGAACCATGAGCTCCTTGTGGCCCCA